TAGGGTGTATATATTAGTAATGTTGGTATTAATTATGCTTGCATTAATTATGATGAGACTATTTTTTATGCGGTGTTTGATTTGGTGTACTAAAAATAACATGCATTGCGTAATTTCTTTTGAAAAAATTGTTCAGAAAAATACCCTCCACAAATACGGTGGAAAAGGTTTAGAGGGGCAATTGTATCCTTAAAAATGCTAATGCATGCATGGAAACCTCTTGCATTGCTAATACCATGGTTTTTCATGTATCAATTATACATAGCATAATACCAAATAGAGTGTATAATGTATAGCTAATGCAGGTTGAAAAAGTGTACCAAACAAGGTATTAGTAATACACCAAAGTTAATGCATACAACTATTTTACTAATGCATCCTACCAAACGAACCATAGGAACAAAATGCAATTCATATGTTGGCTAGTTAAATAAGTTTAACATTCATCATTTTCAAGAATTAATATTTTCTTCAATTATTTTAGAATATATTCTTAATATTATTTATATAACTTTTAAGAAAATTATACTCATTGACCTCCTTCAAACTAAATTTAATTCTATAAAAAATGTTATACATGCAAGTAATAAGAATAAATAAGAACACAAAATAGTCATTACTCTTTCAATCTTTTGAATAAAAGAACATTAACTTGATGAGGCTTGGAGTTCCAAAGAAAACATAAGCATGGTTGCAGAAGAAGTTGTAGCAAACAAATTCTCCAACTTTGCTTAGATATCCTACTATTTCCCTCCTTTTATATTCCAAAGTCTGATTTTGAAAGAAGTTGTCATAATTCCTTCAAAGCATCGTGTAGTTGCAACAGGATTGTTGGGTACTCAACCTACCTAAGTTTAGATTTAAAGTTTTTGGAAGACTACATGTTTTAGATCTACCCTACATTTGCTCAAGGATTATTAGAGGCCAATCAGTTTAGTTTTCAGAGGTGATGGTAAGCTCTTGAATCTTTGGTTCTTTTTTATTATAATGGTAACACTTATTCATCTGCATTAATGGTGTGTTGGCCACGGTAAAACAAAAGTAGAAAGCCTATGTACATTTCACAAGGCTTCTAGAAAGTCTAGTATGGAGTTGGCCTCCTCTATACAAAATCCTTTAGACCAAAAATGCAATTCTTCTCAACTTACTGGATAGAATTGCTCTTATCTTAAAAACATCTGTTATTACTTACCATCCAAATGGTCAACCAAATACAAGTAGGAATAGCTCTCCACCATATCTTTTGCCTAACATTGCTCCCTGCTTGGTCTCAAGGAATCAGAAGCTCAAAAGTGTTCCCAGGCATCACCCATTTAAGGTTTCTAGAATGAGAAAAAGCTGCAAAAATTGTGAGGTATAACCACGGTGGATGAAGAGATAGCTGTTGTTCTCATCGGTGGCTTTGCATAAGAAGCATCTAGAGCTCATCTCTGAAGTTTCTCACGAGTGAGACAAGCCTTTCTAGCTACTAGCCAAGAAAAACAGTTGACCTTCAAAGGAACTTTGGCCCTCCAAATCTGCTTCCAGGGCCAATCTGTCTCATGTTGGCCCTCATTTCCAAAATAAGCATATGCTCCCCTGACAGTGTATATCTTCTTACCCCAATCATGGTGTCTTCAACTTCAGAGATATCACTCCTCCTTTCTATAGTTTGCAGAAATATTGTTTACCTCCATTTCCCAGTCATTGGGTCCTCCTCTGAGAGTGATGATCCAACCATTTAGATCCTAACCTCACTGATAGTAGCCTTTGGCCTAGAGGTAATACTGTAAATATCAGGAAAGCTATTCTTAAAGGTTCCTGCTCAATCCAGAAGGCAGTTCTCCTACCATTTCCAGAAGAGATGCCAAAATTTCTTGAAAAGTCTTCCCAGTGAGCTCTGATGGACTTCCAGATGCTTACTCCATAGGGTGTGGTGCCTGTTTTAGACTTAAGTGCACCAGTTGCACACTACTATCAGTGAATTTAGGTTCTAAATGAACGTATTTATTTCCTAGAAAAAAAGTACAAAGGTTGGTTTCACTATATTTCTGATTCCCTAGTTATGGTATTAAATAATAATGCTAATAACAACCAATCAAGGAAAAAAGATGCAGATATTTAGTTGTTCACATATGATATTTATGTTCTTTTCATGATACAATGCACTAGAAGCATCTATGATCGATTTGATTCATAGACTAATTTCACTTGAGTTAATTCTTCAAGTTTTTTATATGTTGTATCTTTCAACGTTTTAAACTTGACGAAGAAAGAACTTGAGAGGAAAAAAGTGTGAATGAAACGAAGAAGGAAAAACAAATATAAAAGGCAAGAAATAGGTGGGCCAATAACCAATATGAAATGGAAAATTCATTCATCTAACTTCTTTCCTTGTGCTACAAAGTAACAGAAGTCAACAAATTATATACAGCACTATTTGAAACTTTTTTTAATCTATTGTTTTGTTGTTCACCTTACTTGAGAACATAGCATGATACTTTTACCATAACAATATGTATTTATTTTGGTCCAGAACAATAATAATTATTTACAACGATATTTGCCACAAATTATAGTAGCTTGTAATATGTAATTTCAATTAGTAAAGAATATTTGAGTAGTTTGTCTCCCTCCGAATCTATGTGATTAGTCTCTAAATAGATAAAATAATTTTCTCAAGATCTTATTAACCAAGTTTCGGTAAGAAATCAAAAAAGGAAATAAAACAAATAGAAAATGAATATTGGAAGGTTGAGATAAGAGGCTCAAAGAGTCAAAATGAAAAATTGAACCATATGATATTTGAATGAACATTTTTGTGCCAATTTCCATTTACATTAGACAAGTGCAGTATCTACTTCAATGAATATTTTTTTCATGCTGTTAAAAAATTCTGGTTTAAACTTTGAGCTCTTGATTTCCCAATTATTAGGCCATCCTTAATAATGACCGGCATACCGAATATCGAAGATCAAATTCTAAAATTGAATTAGTGTGTTAAGTCTTTTTTTCCATTTATTATGATTATTCCATTTTACACATCATGCCAAGAGATTCAAATCCATAATTTTAATTTGATGGTTCAATTTTTAAAATTCTTAGCATTAATACATCGTATCTTTAAAATTATGGGTTAAGATCTAATATTATTTCTTTAAATTTTAAAGATTGCATTCTGTAACGAAGATATTAAATACCGATGAGCTCATTATGGAAGGGCTAAATTTGCCTACAACACTGAGTTGCTTGCTCATAAAACTAATAGGTAGAAAATAGAAATAACCAAAAAATAATAATTAGAAAGAAAAACATTTATGCATCAAACACCGTTTAATATATAGTTGCTTGATTTTAAGAAAATTCAAACTATTTTTCTCATTCAACCACTCTTATTTTCTTTTTATGTGGATATTAAAAATATGACACCTGAGCCTAACCCAACCTTAAAAGCTAGCTCATGAAGGGATGATTGTTCAAGTGCATATAAGCAGTTCATCATACCATTCCCCAACCAAAGTGGGATGTAGCCACACTAACACCCCTTTCACGCCCAGACCCAACTAGGGCATGGACCGAGAGTCTAAACGGGGATGAACCTGACACTAAAACCATGCAAGGATATGGGACATGGGCCTAAGTCAACCCCAAAAGCTAGCTCATGAGTGGAAGATTGCTCAAGTACATATAAGTACCATTGTGGGATCTAGCCACGCTAACAGGTACAAAGTAGGTTATATATGTTAGTATATCATAAATCGAAAGTAATGCAATTACGACTTTAAATTACTGAGTCAATAACCCATGATCATATTCAATGTTTATAAGATTTTGTAGTTTATTTGTGAGCCTCTTTAACGGACAATACATAATTGAGTGCTTCTTTTTAGATATATATTTGTGGTGTTCAGGCTAGCTTCTACGCACCTTGACTAATTCCATAGGAAACCTGCCACCTCCTACCAACAACAGGTACCAGATAACTCTATCCGCCAAGGCTAGGACGGATGAGAAGAAACCACCTAATTTTTTTGTTTTCGACTTCATTGACCAATATTGGTCACCTCAATTGTATAACAAAAGCGACGATTTTAAGAAAGCTGTACTTCTAATAATATTCGCTAAATGAAAATGTTCGTGTAAGTAACTAAAAGGATTACTGTTAACTTTTAATTACTTCCTAATTAATTTGCTTTTCATTTTATAACAAGGGTTGCGACATCAGTCACTTCCAATCACATACAAGAGGCTATCAAATTAACTAACACAATTAAATTGGAGAGGAACCACAGAAGTAGGTGCAGAAAGAGTGGAAGAAGAACATCTCTTTTTGTTCCAAAATTAGTTAGTTTTTTTTTTTTTTTGATAACCGAGCAATCTCCCAGTGACCCGCCCCTTTGGACCAATCACAGCCTTCTAAACTCGGCGGATAATGGGTCCCCCCTCCACCCTTCTCCACTTAAATATTGGCTTTGCTTTGCATGGTGTGGGCTTGAACCTGTGACCTAAGCCACAAATCCTCCACCTTTTGCCACTCGAGCTACGCCTTGGGGGCAAAAATTAGTTAAATTTTCCTAGAATGTTAAAAAGAACTCCTATTTGATCATATATAATCCCCATTTATGTTTTCTATGGTTAATGAAATTTGTAGGTATATTATTTTAATTTAGATGGTTATGATTTCATATAAAGTTAAAAGAAACCAATGACATTGTTTTATTGCCGAGATTACAGATTTCCGAGATAAAAGATTTTTATTGTTGGAATTAGTTGAAGATAACTTTTGTTTTTCAATATATGATCCATGTTTATGTCATCTATTGTTAACGAATTTGTAGGTATAATGGTATATTATTTGAATTTAGATGCTTATGATTTTATGTAAAGTTAAAAGAAACCATTGCTGATATTTGCAGGATGTATTAAAAATATTTGCATTAGTGTCAATAATAATTCAAAAAAATTCCAAACACTTTAAAGATGTCGCAAAAAATAAGCTAAAAACATATAATGCTGAAATTTGATAAAAGTCATAAAGAAATGTCATTATACGTTTAGCGACATCAACCAATATTTTGGAAATTTTAATGTGACATTTCACAAATGTCGTAAATTTTTAATTTTTTTTATAAAGGTGAAGTTGAAATGTCGTAACTATTTTACCGACATTTACTTAGATGTCAGAAAATTTCCGACATTGAAATTTGAGACCTTTATGGCAAATGTAAGACAAATGTCTTAATACAACATTTGTTGCAAGCTTACTTTCTTGTAGTGGGTGCCTCAGGCTTCCTTGCCCAGACATGTGGTGTATCTGGCGCATAACAATAATCATAGAAGAGTTCCTCTCCTGCACAAATTCTTTGTTTGGCAAATATACCAACTTTGTGATCTCCACCAGCCATAATAACCTGTCACAGAGTTAATTGAGCATTATTGAATCTACCATAGGCAAATCAATCTAGAGAGTGCCTACGCAAATTTCAGCAATTACCTTGGGGTAGCAATTTGGATCAGGAGAATGGTTTGCGAACTTCAACTTGTCACCTTTCCGATAAGCATCAAGCACACACTACATGCACACAAGACAAGTGATTTGCATCAGACCACAGTTGAGGCCCTACCCTAAGGACTAACTTAACAAGGTATGAACGGCAAGTCGTTTCTCATGCCTGGTCATTCAAATTGAAGAGAAATGAAGAATTTATAAGATCATAAATCTTTCCACGCCTATCAGCTTCATGGTGTGAGATTATTTCACCGGTATATTCTCCAAGGTACTCGTGCTTTCCAACACTTTTCTGTGAGCAATTCTAAACATAAGCACAAAAATAACAAGGATGTGCAGATAGAGAGAGAAAGAGCATAACTATTCTTAGATATTACCTTCAAGAAAGCACCCCATCCAGACACATCAGACCGTCCAAGAAGAACCTGCAAAAATTAATGTAAGGGATAACAACTAGCCTAGAACTGGAACTTGAAAACCTCCATTCTTACACTAGAGCAGCTCTAAAGTCTAAAGATAATACATGAACAGGAAGGGTGAGGAAGAAAAGAGAGCAGCACATTTTTAAAAGCCTCACAAGACCCTAAAGTGAGATGATACATTATTAAAAATTATCATTTATTCACTTTTGTCCATTACAATGTCTAATATGAATCAAAGGTTCAACTAAAAAGACTGGTTAATACCCGAACTTAAAATACGATAATGCCAAATTCAAACTTTATCCATCTAATTAAACTTTGAGAACAGAGGGAGGACATATAATAATCATTTGTCTTAGTGGCAACCTCTAACTTGGAATAAAAATAACAAACTACCCTTCACAAATAAATAGTGATAATTACCCTTTGATGTTGTTTGAGAAGAAGCTTCATGTTCTCGCAGTCATTATTGTCACCTCTTTGTGGAGGAATATCGAGAGTCCCATCACCACAGCTGCAAGAGCCAAATAACATAGACATGGAAGCTTTATAACTGAAAATGAAGGATATTAAAATGAACAAATTATGTGTTTTTTGATTCATTTACTAGTTATGTGGGTTTTATAACATAACGATTGTTTATATGTGGCGATTAATAATGAAGGGCTGTTAAAAGTTGGTTAATAATGGAGGGATTGTTATACAAGAATTACTTACTTGAAAAGCACATTTTGTCCTTAAAAGCTTAATCCCCATTGCTTATGCATGCATTTTTATTCCATATTATGTCCCGTGTATATAACAAAAATAGATTTCTGCATAATTTAGTACGTGTATTATTTAAAACTACCATCCAACTGTTGCATTAGTGATGAGATTGTTTTTCTTATGCAGCCAACCTCACACACTTGTTTTCTTATACAAGATTTTATGTCACGATTAACTACTCCAATACTACAACAAAAAGACCTTTTAACTCTTGATGAAACATAAATTGATGTCAACATTCACTCGAGCTTGAAAAGCTTGCTCCTCAGTTGTCACTCGCTCAGCAATAAATAATTATCAGCCATCAAATAAATCAATAAGGTTGGTCATTTTAGGGAGAGAAAAAGCTAGAGAAATGTTACATAGATGGTTTGGTTAAGTATGGTAGATGAAGATAACACGGTGAATTTGTCTTAATAGCTTATGCTTTTAGGAATCAATTGATCGCACAACAATAAAGTTTTGCATAACTAAATACAGTGTCTAATTTGCAACATAAAATTATGCTTTTTACGCTACAAGTAGACAGAAAATATTTGGAAAATCTTCAATGATTTGAGGGAAATCAGATGGGTGATGCCAATGCCAGGAAACACAAAGGAGTTAAGGAGACTAGACAGTTGGGATGAGTAGGAATTTTATCCAACCAGAATGAGAGATGGAGGATTGTCCCAACATGTATTTTGTAGGATATAGAAACCAAAGGTGTTTCGAGGATAGCAATGCAATATCTAGAAGTTGAAGATGAATTGCTTAAGCCTTTATTATTTTTGGTGTAAACAGGAATGTTAAGTAGAAACTAAAAATATTTTTGATGTTTTAGACTACATGTAAGAAACGAATAGATGGCTATTTTATAATTGTCTGTTTGGAAGAGTATATGGTTGGTATAGTATACTTGTTAATATATAGAATGTTACCATTATAAGAAAAACATAAAATAATGATTACTAACGTAATCTCGGAAAATTTTCATATAAACTTCTGCATAACCAATGTGGCATTTGATTTTCCGTAATAAACTCTACAACAGTCTATTCACTATTTTATTATTTCAGCCTGGGAGGAATAGTCTAAGATAGGGCCAGCATGGTCGGTGGGGATTCTTACTGACAATCTCAAGTTGGTAGGATTTGAGGCGGAGTAGTCTAGGTCTTAGAATAAGACTACGCATATTAACAATACATCAATAAAATTACCTTTAAAGTAGATATTGTATAACGACCCTTATATTATTGTTCTCAGCTAACAACCTCACACTACCATCCACAGAATAGCAGTCCCTTCATAATTATGCACCGCGTATCAAACTCTTCTTAATTATTCAATGCATAATAATTCATACATTACAGGCCTTGCATAACTAGTCCACGAACCAAACAAACCCTTTAGTGTGTTAGCTTGGCACAAGCAAATTAAAAATCATAGTTTAGGCTGTCGATAAAGTAGAGTGAGAGCATGGAGGGGCGATACAGGATCTCAAAAACGCAAGATGAATGGAAATTAGCAACCACTAAAAACAAGAAGGTACACCAAAGATGGGGAATCCGAGGACACAGATGCTCATAGGCATTAGAAATACTTCCAGCTTGACACTGCAAACTTATATCACCAACTTTCAGGAAATAGATAAAAACAGACAATAAATCCATAGCACTACCAGGAGCTCACCTGATCCAACAATTTCGGCAAACATCAGGATCACATTCCCTGTCAACAGCAAAGCAAGGGCATTGCCTGCTTCTACACTGACCTTTTATGCAAAAACAACCACGAAAGTGATTCTTGCAATTCTTGATACTCTTGCATCTAGAATATAAGAATGACAAAGCATAGAAGAAGAACTAATTAATATAGGCACAAAAAATTTGGTTAAAGAGACCAAAAAAGAAAAAGACGGACAAACCCCAGAAAACAATAAAAATGGTTTAGCACTGTAGATTTCATAAGAATAATTTACAGCCCAGGTCCCACATTATTATCGCACTGGAGTTAGTCGAGAAGAATGCTGTCTTACCCACAATATTTTTCACAGGGGGTCCCATTTACGATACAAGGACACTCTTTTCCACAAGGTACTTGACAATTACATGGATTATAGTGACGGCAAAGCTTGTCTTTCCTCTGAGATATTCTTTTCCTAAGTGCATTATATCCAGCTGATTTCCCTGTGTATTTTAAGCGGCGAACTCTACCTCTTCTATGTAAGAATCTAGATTTTCTCCGTGGTTGATTACCCTGAAATTGAAATCAAAACAGGATCAACTTAAGTGGGGGTAATAATAATAATATTACTACTGTTCAACAAGAACACAAAGCAACATGCTGATGAACAAAGTCAATATACTAACCACGATTGTATGGCCATCACCCTTAAAAGAGCCTTGAAGCATTCCATTCACACCATCACTTACTAGGGATAGCTTATTCTCGGAATTGTTCATATACTGGAACACCTCCCAACAAGTTTTTAAACCATTCAGCAGATTTCGAGCAATCATGCAGCTGTATGACAAAATAAGGTGCTTAAGTCAGGTAAATTTTGCCAGCTGTGGTCTAGCATTTTCATTCGTCTAGGAGAGCATTGACAAGTAAAACAGGAATTGCATGCACACACAATCATCAAACATGAAAAGTCCGATTGCCATTTCCAACTTAGTTCGGAGGAACTTAATGAGGAAAATTTTGCAAGTTCTAATTTGCCTATTGAGAACTAGCATGAATTTGATTAAAAAGCTAGCACAACAATTTCTTATTAGACAAAAGTAAGCCAGTATTTGAGTGAATGATTTATGAAGATATTACAGAAGAGATAGTGTTGACAAACAAGGTATACAACGTCAAAGAACTGAGAAGAACAGGACTAGAATTAGTTGCAAAGAGTAATTTGAAGTTAACTGACCTGCTCCGACCAAACATTTCCAGACCTTTTTCAAAGAGAGCCTTTTCAAGTGGTCTCCATGGTTTGTCACCATCTATTTCTTGATTGCAGTTATTCTCATCCCCAAACTCATTCTCCCTCAATGTGTCGTCATGATTCATCCCATTTTTTTCACTGGCAGCCTCTTCATATTGGCAACCAAAACCCTCACCTTGCAAAGAATTTTTACTGCTCAATACTGGAGAGACGTCCCTCCTAGAAGTTCTACCACACTGAGGTTGTTGTGATTCTAGTGAACATGAACCAACATCTTTGAAATCCTTATGTGAATTAGAGTGGAGATTCAAGTCTTTGGACACTAGACTTCCAGAAGCTATATAGTCAGACTCCACAGCCATCAGATTTATTTGCCGCTTTTTAGTGGCAACTAGAACATTTTCAGCTATTCTCTTGCATTTTCCTTTGGTGCTCCCCACTTTACTATCAGATTTTCTGTTAGATGGAGAAGCAGATCGCTGAACAGTAGTGATGTCACATAACAGCCTAAGCTCTGAACCGATATTCTCAGAGATGTTCTTTGCAATCAATGAAGCACTTTCACTTTCGCAAGAATTTGATGTCCTTGATAGATGCTCCCTACCAGACACCTCAGTATTATTAGCAATTTCAGATGGTCGGACATGGTTTTCTCCATGATTAGCAATCTGAGAGGGGGTCAATCCAGCTTCGCTTTCCTTCTTGATGGCCAGAAATGAGTAAAAGAGCTCAGAAGGTTAGTAGGTATTGTTGCCACAATAGGAGTAAAGAACAAGTACATACCACTACTAAGAAATGATAGTTGTTTATAAAGTAAAAGATTCAGGTCAGGGCCAAATTGATGTCAACAGAAATTACATAAAAGAAGGGGAGCAAGATACCAGGCGATAGCAATTTGAACAACAGGGCTCCTTATCCATGTCGGTAGAGCACCATGGCAATTGTTTTTCCGCCTTATGAATGTAAGGAGTAAAACACACTATAAGAATCTATTTCGAAGTACAGAGTTCTGAGATACTAAAACATTGGTTAAATAGCCATTCCGTACCGGAAAAATCAGGTCCTGTGAACATCCATGTGATTGACAATCAAAAACCTGCAAGTGAGGACAAAACGAGAAAAAGGAAAGAAGTATATTCAGAAGGAAAAGTATGAAGCAGAAAACAAGCCAGGAGTTAAAACAACAGATATATACATACAAGGCATCGACGACAAAATAGGGTGTCAAAAGAATCTAGAGCAGCATCAAGATCATTGTCAAGAAATAAATCTGGAGTCCCTTGGATGCTCTCGTTCTTTGAGGGGCATTCATGTTTGTCCTTAACAAGATCTTCATATCTTGCCTGTATAAGATAGACACTGGATTGTGATTTATCTCTGTAATAAAGCCAGAAAAACCAAATGGGAAACAGCTGGACAAGAGTTCGCATTGTGAGCAGTTTTATTCGATAATGAGAACTTAATAATAGAGTGTAGTTTGTTTTGTTTTTTTATAAAGGAATAACAAGGAGTAGTTATTCTCTAAACGAAGTGTGTACCTTGACTTCACTGGGTTTTCTAGACAAGAACTGCCCTAGCAATTCTAACACTGTATCAGACAGGCCAATTTGTTGGATAGTTGAACTGCAAATAAGTAAACAGTGATACATCATCTTAGCCACATATTGGATTAGATAGCACATTATATGAAAAGTGCCAGACAAAATCTACTTCACCGGTATTTAAAAGAACATTTAGCAAAACAATCCAGCAACAAATAGCAGACCATAATGAAAATCTTATAAGCCATGCTCCAAGCTCAAGACCATGTGAACCCTTTCCGTATGGCATGCTATATTCCAGATAATTAAAGATTTAAACATAGTTCATATGTACAAGTTGAAACCTCCTAAAATGAGTTTCAAAGGGCATCTTTGTGAAAGAAATTAAGTTTTTAAGGAACTACTTTCTTTAATTAATTGATCACAAAGATGGATGGCAAGAGAAAAGGCTAAAACAGAAGAGATCTGTATTTTTGACATTAACTGAACAAAGATCTATATTACATTTAGGACAGTGTAAAATCTGAAAATGGTACTGAGCTCATAGTTCTAGACAAATAATAGGTAAAATTACTACTAAAGAGAGACAAGAATAGCAAATAATGTATATACATTTAAGAGTACCATAACATATCTAGTAGGGAATATTCTCTATCTGAATATGGAGCTAGACCCCAGGAAAAAAATGATCTGATTGTCATGAGGTGATATGCTAATGATCTACCAATGGCAAAAAATTGGCTGCTCTAAGAAACATGATGTTGTGGATGCGAGGAAGTCAATTAATTTAAGTATTTAATTATATTTTAAGTAGATTTATTTATTATTTTTTTATAATTTAAGTAACTTTATTTATTATTCTAAAATGGAGTTTATATTTCATAGTTTCATAAGGATTAGGTTAAGTTATAGTTATTAGTTTGGAATAGGATTTAGGTCTTCTACTTTCGTAAGAATTAGACTTCCTATTGATGTAATAAGACTCTTATTTAAAGGGGTTTTTGATGAATAAATTAGTAAGTCATTTTTCAGCAAAAAGCAAGAGATTAGAGTTCTCTCTTCCATTTGAAGAGCTGAAGAGATCGGAGTTCCCTCTTTTAATGAACTCTAAGATTTCAGCCTCCCTTTAACGAGCTGATTTATATATCAAGATTTATAACACATGACACCATTGTTTCATGTGGAAAGAATGTTCTGATTGATGATTATAATACAGTAGAAAGAAAAACCAAAAATATAGGAGGGCACAATTCAATCCAGTATTTATGTAGCTTAATTATACCAACCGCAGCATAACATCTTCGTACTCTACAAACTGCTTTTCTTGTTTGTCTTCAAGTAATTCTTCCTCGCTATCACTGCAAATTAGAGCTTCTCCACTATTCTTGTCATAATAAATTCTTCTACAACCAACCACTGATTGATTCACGGGCATCTCCTGATTTCTGCACAAGTCAAAGTAGGATCAGAACAGTAAAAAATAACAAGAAAACTCTTCATCTTCAACAATCGCCAAGGCTATAGTCTAGTGATTTAAGTCTGATTCTCCCACACAATAAGGGAGAGGGGATACGTTTAAGGAGATAATAATCTTCAACAAGAATGATGAAATTTTGGAGTGTTACCAGTTTTAGAATCGTGATTTACAACGTTACTGGGAACTTAAAATTAAAAGACAACACCAAAAACAAGAAGACTTCCACTCTCATTGGAAAGAAGCTATAGAAGGAGAGAAGGATGTCAATGCCATTTAAATGGTTTCCTCCTCGGCGGGAATAACTTTGAATTTGTCATCCTTGTTCAACTGACATCCCTTCCGAGAACAGGCATAAAATGAAATCCCATAGTGCAAAATAAAACATTTCTAAGGCCTAGGATCAATAATTATACAGAAGTCCAGAAGTCCAGAAGCAGATGATTTTAAATTCCGATGATGAAAAACACAAGACGCTAAGATCAAAAGCCACTGTAAAGGGTGAGCACAGGTGATTCAAAATTGCACTAAATACATCCCTTGTATGATCAGATGCAACAGTTAACACCAAAAAAATACTCAGTAAGGAAAATAATTGTAAATTGAAGATTATCAAGAAATATATGGTTAGACATTCATGAGGTTCAATAGCATGCCATACTGATGAAAGAAGAACCTCAAATTTCATATAGGAAGCAAGCTAAATTAAGAATATAAGGAAAAGAAGAGGCACAAATCAAACTTGAAGACCACATGACTTGTCCATCAAGGTAACTTAACATACCTATCCAAAAATACCCATGTAGTATATTGAGGCAGTCTTTCCACTTGAGGAAGTATAATGGGACATACAGCACTATTGACAGCAATGCTAGATCCTAGACGAATTTCAGAAGAGGCATATCCATCATCTTCATAACTATTGCTATCATTATCTCCATTGCTGGAACCAATCCCAGTTTGCATATTAATTACATCCTGCTGTCTCTTAGACAGAAGATCAATGCTAATATCCGCACCATGAACTATAAGATTTTTTCTCTCTGTTGACAACTTCAAAAAAAATTCCCCCAAATCATACGCCTTTTGTGCATTCTCTTCTGTCCTTTTCTGGAAGTAGACAAAACAGATCCTTGGTTGTACAAACCTTGTAAAAGCACCTCAATCGAAATACACAATAAAACATTAGGGGGAAGTGGGAGAAAACTAACTATTCATAAAACGCACCTTTACATAATCAGCACGTTTAGAAGCAAATTGTCCCTTCAAAGATTCAGTAACTGATAAGAATTCATCAGCTTCTATGGTTGTTCCTTCAGGTGCATCAATCTGTCCAAAGCAGTATAGCATTGGATGACATAACAAGTCACAGAAGGAAATATAACTATATAACTAAGGGTAACAAGAAAATGGCAAACATTGAGAATAAGATTGACAAATAGTTTTCCTGTCCTCGAAGTCAAAAGTGCAAGCCACCAGGACAATGCAGTGAGCAGAAAGGAATTGAGAATAGGAAAATAATTATGAGAAAGATATTGTGGAACAGAAATATGGTTCCACACACCAATTGTCAATAGATGTGGTAATAAAATGGAACCCCAAAACATAAGAGACTAAGAATCTACACACACCCAACTTCCAACACTATCATTTTTTAGAGCTGGTCTCTTGTTCGCACCTCAACTATTGCAACACCATCATTATGACAACCTAATTGCCAGTGTGGTTTTTTTTTTGAGAAGGTAACATCTCAATTGCTGGTATTTTTAAAAGTGAAAAGAAAAAAAAAACATCACGGGCCTTGAAGCGAATAATTTTAAAAGTGAAAAGAAAAAAAAAACATCATGGGCCTTGAAGCGAAAAGCGAGAAATGAAGTGCATTATATTTTTAGGCGAAGCGCACAATTCAAGTATTAATAAGTATCAAACAGTTATGAACTACTAAAATAACTAATTATCGCATCAAATTACAATAATGCTGGTATTAATCGATTTCTTGATCACTTCTAGTTGTGATCACTTTGCATGTCATTTTCTGAAGCTTACACCTTGTTATTTTCTTTTATAGATAATGATAACGGATTGTATTAGAAAAAAGAATCAGCACTAACCAAGTGCAAGAAGTGAAGTTACAAATTATGCAATTCACCAATCATGTCTGAACTCTTAAGCTTACATTTTGTTGAAGTTCATGACTTCAACTATGAAGCTATGATCCTCACTATGCATTGCTTTAAGTAATGAAACAATGGTTTTAGATAATATCGTCAAGTATTAAACACCATATTTGGAGGAAAGGTTCACTCCAGTATAAATAAGTCCAATCAAGAAATGGGATAGCCTACCATACTCTATGAAATCAAATGGAAATGAAAGACCAACTAGAGAGAACAAGAAGAAAACTGCACTTAGTGATGCGAGTAACAAAATTTCTTTTATGGATATATTCAGCCCATCGAAAATCCTAGGTTAACAAGCACAATCCTACTACCACTGCAACGTGACTTACCAGATTATCCTACAATGCAATTGGAATCAAGTCAAAGCAGTCGAGTTAATCAAAACAAAGAATAAACAATCTTATTCATAATTCAACTAAAATCAATTGAAAAAAACAGTTAACAAATAATGGGAATAAGAATTTTACTGGAAGATCAATGGTAAATTGACCAATGAAAATTGAAGAAGTGCCCGCCATTGTTTTATTAAAAAAAATATAACTTGACTGATTTAAGAGTCGCCACTTAATTTTTTTTTAGAAAAATCAAGAAAACTGTTGTTTTCAAAAGACTAAAACAGAAATCTAGTGAAAACTAAAAAAAAGGGTTCGAGGTTCTTATTAACATTCTAGGAAGGTTTCAAAAGCACCTAGAATGTCCACTAATGTGGTTATCCGACGATTAATTATTTGGCTAAACTAATTGACTTAACTTGAATTGCAAAAGTGAACTACTTTATAGTTGAGACCTATTTTAATAGAAAAAATAATGAAATATTATCTAAGTGAAGTATTTCATAAACTTATTTATTTATTTATTTATTTTAAGTCGAGTAAGAAACGAATGATTTAGTTAAGTGATTAATTCAAAATGATATTTTCTGGGGATTTGAATTTTCGACCTTAAGGTTAGTGGAAAATTTTAACGAGCACATAAACACAACAAAGAAGGGAGGGAAAGAGATTTGGGCCCAAATCTGGTTTTTCTGTCCGCCTGGGCCAATATTTGGGCCCACTTTCGTTTTGGGCTTTCGGCCCATTGAGTCACCTGCACCTGTCCTAGTCTAACATGAAATGAATATCTTTCTTTTGGACCTTAAGCCCAATTTCTCCACCTGTCCTAGGAACTAACAAGTAATAGTAAGTAAAATGACAAGGGCTTAGGCCCAATAATAACAAAATACAATTTTGAATAAATAAAGGTGGGCTTTGGCCCAATCTTTTTCAACTCCCGATTTGCTCCGCTTTTCTTTCAATTTCGGGACCTGTTCGTCGATTTTAATATCTGAATGACTCCGATAAAAGGGAATATGGGCCTCTGTGGCCCAAAGGAAAGTGCGAGGATAGAGTCCATGAGGACCCGGACGAATTTCACATGCAAACACAAAAATGAGGATCAGTAAGTAAAAGTTATGGATAATATAAGAAAATTTATTTTATTCTAATATTTATTACACTACTATATTCTAACATTTATTATACTACCATATTATAAAATCTATATACTATCGCCATTCCAATTGGCGAAGATTAAGATGCAGCGTGAAGCTCGATTCCCCGATGAAGGAGATCGGAGTCCTACACGACCCCAAGAGAGTGAGAGGAATCGATTAAGAAAAGAAATTACTCTCCGGCCGCAGTTGAAACCCTAGGTTTTTGGATGTTAGGGCATCCCTTTTATTTTTTCTCTTCGGAGCCGCATTGTCGAGGATTTATTTTCTTTCCTAAAAATGCTACTACTACTCCTTCTCGTTTGGTGCGGAGAAATGGGCAGCGCCACCGCTGCCACTTACTAAATTTTGCGGGAATCTCCTTCTAGCTATAGGTATATTGTTTTGTATTTTAGCCATGTGTCAACTTTTGGGGTAATCCACCTATGTTGATTCTTTGTCCGCCTGAAAACGACCAAAGGACTGGACTCGATTGTGAGAGTAAAAATTAGGAAAATAAGACTCTTCCAACACTATCATTTTTTAAAGCGGGTCTCTTGTTCGCACCTCAACTATTGCAACACCATCATTATGACAACCCAATTGCCAGTGCAGTTTTTTTTTTTTGAGAAGGTAACATCTCAATTGCTGGTAATTTTAAAAGTGAAAAGAAAAAAAAAACATCATGGGCCTTGAAGCGAAAAGCGAGAAATGAAGTGCATTATATTTTTAGGCGAAGCGCACAATTCAAGTATTAATAAGTATCAAACAGTTATGAACTACTAAAATAACTAATTATCGCATCAAATTACAATAATGCTGGTATTAATCGATTTCTTGATCACTTCTAGTTGTGATCACTTTGCGTGTCATTTTCTGAAGCTTACACCTTGTTATTTTCTTTTATAGATAATGATAACGGATTGTATTAGAAAAAAGAATCAGCACTAACCAAGTGCAAGAAGTGAAGTTACAAATTATGCAATTCACCAATCATGTCTGAACTCTTAAGCTTACATTTTGTTGAAGTTCATGACTTCAACTATGAAGCTATGATCCTCACTATGCATTGCTTTAAGTAATGAAACAATGGTTTTAGATAATATCGTCAAGTATTAAACACCATATTTGGAGGAAAGGTTCACTCCAGTATAAATAAGTCCAATCAAGAAATGGGATAGGCCACCATACTCTATGAAATCAAATGGAAATGAAAGACCAACTAGAGAGAACAAGAAGAAAACTGCACTTAGTGATGCGAGTAACAAAATTTCTTTTATGGATATATTCAGCCCATCGAAAATCCTAGGTTAACAAGCACAATCCTACTACCACTGCAGCGTGACTTACCAGATTATCCTACAATGCAATTGGAATCAACTAAAAGCAGTCGAGTTAATCAAAACAAAGAATAAACAATCTTATTCATAATTCAACTAAAATCAATTGAAAAAAACAGTTAACAAATAATGGGAATAAGAATTTTACTGGAAGATCAATAGTAAGTTGACCAATGAGAATTGAAGAAGTGCCCGCCATTCCAATTGGCGAAGATTAAGATGCAGCGTGAAGCTCGATTCCCGATGAAGGAGATCGGAGTCCTACACGACCCCAAGAGAGTGAGAGGAATCGATTAAGAAAAGAAATTACTCTCCGGCCGCAGTTGAAACCCTAGGTTTTTGGATGTTAGGGCATCCCTTTTATTTTTTCTCTTCGGAGCCGCATTGTCGAGGATTTATTTTCTTTCCTAAAAATGCTACTACTACTCCTTCTCGTTTGGTGCGGAGAAATGGGTAGCGCCACCGCTGCCACTTACTAAATTTTGCGGGAATCTCCTTTTAGCTATAGGCATATTGTTTTGTATTTTAGCCACGTGTCAACTTTTGGGGTCATCCACCTATGTTGATTCTTTGTCCGCTTGAAAATGACAAATGACTGCACACGATTGTGAGAGTAAAAATTAGGAAAATAAGACTCTTCCAACACTATCATTTTTTAAAGCTGGTCTCTTGTTCGCATCTCAACTATTGCAACACCATCATTATGACAACCTAATTGCCAGTGTGTTTTTTTTTTTAGAAGGGAACATCTCAATTGCTGGTATTTTTAAAAGTGAAAGGAAAAAAAAACATCATGGGCCTTGAAGCGAAAAGCGAGAAATGAAGTGCATTATAGCGAAGCGCACAATTCAAGTATTAATAAGTATCAAACAGTTATGAACTACTAAAATAACTAATTATCGCATCAAATTACAATAATGCTGGTATTAATCGATTTCTTGATCACTTCTAGTTGTGATCACTTTGCATGTCATTTTCTGAAGCTTACACCTTGTTTTTTTTCTTTTATAGATAATGATAACGGATTGTATTAGAAAAAAGAATCAGCACTAACCAAGTGCAAGAAGTGAAGTTACAAATTATGCAATTCACCAATCATGTCTGAACTCTTAAGCTTACACTTTGTTGAAGTTCATGACTTCAACTATGAAGCTATGATCCTCATTATGCATCGCTTTAAATAATGAAACAATGGTTTTAGATAATATCGGCAAGTATTAAACACCATATTTGGAGGAAAGGTTCACTCCAGTATAAATAAGTCCAATCAAGAAATGGGATAGGCCACCATACTCTATGAAATCAAATGGAAATGAAAGACCAACTAGAGAGAACAAGAAGAAAACTGCACTTAGTGATGCGAGTAACAAAATTTCTTTTATGGATATATTCAGCCCATCGAAAATCCTAGGTTAACAAGCACAATCCTACTACCACTGCAGCGTGACTTACCAGATTATCCTACAATGCAATTGGAATCAACTAAAAGCAGTCGAGTTAATCAAAACAAAGAATAAACAATCTTATTCATAATTCAACTAAAATCAATTGAAAAAAACAGTTAACAAATAATGGGAATAAGAATTTTACTGGAAGATCAATGGTAAGTTGACCAATGATAATTGAAGAAGTGCCCGCCATTGTTTTATTAAAAAAAATATAACTTGACTGATTTAAGAGTCGCCACTTAATTTTTTTTTAGAAAAATCAAGAAAACTGTTGTTTTCAAAAGACTAAAACAGAAATCTAGTGAAAACTAAAAAAAGGGTTCGAGGTTCTTATTAACATTCTAGGAAGGTTTCAAAAGCACCTAGAATGTCCACTAATGTGGTTATCCGACGATTAATTATTTGGCTAAACTAATTGACTTAACTTGAATTGCAAAAGTGAACTACTTTATAGTTGAGACCTATTTTAATAGAAAAAATAATGAAATATTATCTAAGTGAAGTATTTCATAAACTTATTTATTTATTTATTTATTTTAAGTCGAGTAAGAAACGAATGATTTAGTTAAGTGATTAATTCAAAATGATATTTTCTGGGGATTTGAATTTTCGACCTTAAGGTTAGTGGAAAATTTTAACGAGCACACAAACACAACAAAGAAGGATTAAAAGAGATTTGGGCCCAAATCTGGTTTTTCTGTCCGCCTGGGCCAATATTTGGGCCCACTTTCGTTTTGGGCTTTCGGCCCATTGAGTCACCTGCACCTGTCCTAGTCTAACATGAAATGAATATCTTTCTTTTGGACCTTAAGCCCAATTTCTCCACCTGTCCTAGGAACTAACAAGTAATAGTAAATAAAATGACAAGGGCTTAGGCCCAATAATAACAAAATACAATTTCGAATAAATAAAGGTAGGGCTTTTGGCCCAATCTTTTTCAACTCCCGATTTGCTCCGCTTTTCTTTCAATTTCGGGACCTGTTCGTCGATTTTAATATCTGAATGACTCCGATAAAAGGGAATATGGGCCTCTGTGGCCCAAAGGAAAGTGCGAGGATAGAGTCCATGAGGACCCGGACGAATTTCACATGCAAACACAAAAATGAGGATCAGTAAGTAAAAGTTATGGATAATATAAGAAAATTTATTTTATTCTAATATTTATTACACTACTATATATTACACTACTATATTCTAATATTTATTACACTACTATATTCTAACATTTATTATACTACCATATTATAAAATCTATATACTAT